GTCTTCTGCAGCTATTGTAGGAGAAAACAACAAAGGCTTTGGTGCAATTTGCAAGGAATGAAGGGGTCCTTCCAACATCTCTACAACTTTCCTCATTGATGGCCTATCAGAAGGAATGGTTTGAATGCACCAGAGACTTACTAATATCATCTTTCTTGCTATTTCTTTTTCCTCCTCAGATATATCCGGATCCCCAAATGTATTTTCATCCTTATCTAGCTCTAGATCTTTATAAACATAATGTGGAAACATTTCACTCGTATGAGACACTCCCGAATCCAAATTCTTTTTTGCTCCAACCATTTCAAGAACCAACATCCCGTAGCTGTAAACATCAGATTTGTGAGATACTCCTCCAAAGTTCCGACTAAACACTTCTGGTGCAATGTATCCTGCAGTTCCTCTTGTACCCATCATCGATACAATACTGTCCTTCGTTTTGCATAGTTTGGCTAGGCCAAAATCAGCAACTTTCGGGCAAAAATATTTGTCCAAAAGAATGTTCTGTGGCTTGATGTCAAAATGCAAAATTCTTGTGTTACATCCACGGTGTAGGTATTCTAGTCCTCGCGCAATACCAACTGCAATTTCAGATAGTGTTTTCCATTCTAAGCGAAAATTTGCCATTCCAGACCCGTGCTTATGTATGAAATTATCCAGAGATCCATTAGGCATGTATTCATAAATCAAAGCTCGTTTGTCCCCCTCATAACAGAATCCAGAAAGAGTGACTATGTTGACATGGGAGGTTCTACCAATGCTAGCAACTTCATTAATAAAATCTTCTCCTCCATTACCCTTGGACTCACTTAGGACTTTGACCGCCACCAGAAGCCCATCAGGTAGCCTGCCTTTGTACACAGTTCCATATCCACCTTTACCTATTTTGTCTCTGAAAGAGTCTGTCATTTTCATGACATTTTCATAGGTATACCGCTTTGGAGTAAGCGATCCATAGTTCCTTATAAATGCCTCAACATCAAACTCATCCCTCTCATCTCTCTTGAGGAAGGCCATTATTCTTTTCCTTGATATGCATATAGTAAAAAAAAGGATTATGATAATCAACAGAGCAGCAACCCCAATGCCTTCTCCTGAAACAATCACAAGATAGAGAAATGTAAATCAATAAATGAATATATGTATAATCCATTGATTGAAAAAAGACCATGCCAACAGACATTTTGTACTTACATGTTGCTAATTTCACTAAATCTAGTCACTTTGTTGCCAAATGTTCACAATTTTAGAACATGGCTTTTTTTTTTCTTTTTTTTTCTCTCTGTAAACTTATTAAAATATTCATTAATCAATTTAAAATCAATAAGAATCCTGTCGTTTTAATTTGACTGTGGTATTTCATAGCAGGAAAGCAAAGTATAGGTTCGCAAAACTAAAAGACGAGAAAGTTTTGGATACTGGATTGTCAAAACACTACGCAAAAATTTCCAGAAATTCCTAATTCACGACGGCTTACTGTTGCTATCTTTCTAAATCCCACCTGTGAAACAAGAAATAAAAATATGAAGTCAACAATTCCTAGTTAATTGTCACTAGTAGTCTTCGGTTTGAACTTTCTTTGTAATTTAATGGCGTGTGTGAAAAAATTCAAGGCTTGTCAAATATAGGTCCCTACAATTTATATTTCCTAGACATATATCCATCATTCTATAAATCTATGTGTAAAATCCAATTTCAAATTTAAATGATCAGTGGGATATAAGAGGTCATAGTATTCCTATGTTTTTACATCCTTGCCACTATAATTCATATTTTATTTATAATTTATTCCAAGCATTTCATGAACTGCCATAATTGTAATTAAAACTCCCTATTAATAGCATATCAATCACCCTATTTCTTTTGGTTGCCATTCCCTCTAACATATGACCCTTAAAATTGAAAATTAAACAAATATGTAAATTACATATCCAATAATGTACATATGAAAAATATAAATATAAATATATGTATAAAAATATAAGGTATATTATTTACCAAAAAAAATAAACAAAAATAGGTCAATTACTTTGTAATTGAAATTTCCGTACATTTTTCATAAATTAAAAATAAGTACACAATAATTTATAGAAAATAGGTACGTTGTATAATTGAAAGTTATGCATATTTTTATAAATTAAAAATAGGTACATTACTTATAAGTCTAATGGCAAGGATGTAAAAATATAGGAATACTATGACCTCTTATATCCTATTGATCATTTAAATTTGAAATTGGGTTTTACACATAGATTTATAGAATGATGGGTATATGTCTAGGAAATAGAAATTGTAGGGACCTATATTGGACAAGCACTAATTAAAATACACTTCATTGATTTAATTGATGTGGCATATAATATAGATATGCCACATCATGTGGTATAAAAATGTGGGATAAAAATGTGGTAAGTGTAGCATTACTAAAAAAAAAAAAAATAGGTACATTATTAGAGAAAAAAAATAGGTATATTATTTTGAGAGAAAAAATAGGCTCATTTAAAAAAAAAAATTCATAAAACAAACAATAAAAAGATGATCAAATTATTTTTTATAAAACAAGTAATAAAGAAAAAAAAAAGATACAATATTTGGAGAAAAAATAGGTTCATTAAAAAAAATGTTTTAAAAACAAAACAATAAATAGATTATCAAATTATTTTTCAACATAATTAGAATGTACACTATTATTGATAAAACTATAATAAAAAAGAATACTGGTCATATAATTCATAAAAAGAAAACAACATTAATTCCTAAATTTAATATTGAATTTAAATTATTAATACTTTAAATAGATTACTAGTCATAATTCATAGAAAGAAAACACCATTAATTCAAAAATAGATTACTAATACTTTAATGTGGAATTTAATATTTAATTTCAAATAAGTTTCTAAATTAGTTCCTACATCCATTACAACTATTTGGAGATATTTCCAAATTCAACGGGTATCATTAGTTACACCCTCAATAACACATTAACTTATAAATATGGGTAGTTTTGGAATCCAAAAAAAACAATAAATCAGATTTTAAGTTATATTAGATAACTTGCTTAGTTGGATCCTAGTCATTGGGTATTATTTGAAAACATTGGGTATTTTACATAGAAAACTAATGGAAAGGGTTGTAGGTGATTTAAAATGAATTTTATGGGTTTAAACTCAATTTACTATTTAGATTATTATTTGTATTAAAAAATATATATACGAAAATAAGAAAAAATTTAAACTTCAAGGACGTATGGTGTGGAATATGGTACCTGATAAGTCACACACCCGATCCCCACAAAGGCAAACGGGCCGGTTCGTATGGGGGTCAAACCCACAGCCCGTTTTAAAATTAGGACATTTAGCGCATTCCTTATCATAAGGGTTGGTATAGTTAACATTAAAGCCTTCCATGATCGCTTCCTGAAACAGCGACCTGTTGGCACCGAGCTTCGCAGCCGCGGTCTTGAGAATCGGCACTGTAGTTTCAATCTTACACTTGACACCGCTCATAATCTGGTCGATCGGGAACTTCTCGATCAAGTAATAAGAGTCGTTGAAAGGCAAATTGACGTTGCAGTGAAACCAATTCTCGGGCTTGGGCGTAATGGTAGAGGAATTACAGCCGTAGAAAATGGACACCTCCATGTCGTCGTTCTCATTGTAGGCGAAGAACTCGGATTTGATAGTTGTGTTGGCGAGTTTGTCTGTGCATGTCGAGTTCCAGAGGTCTGAGCGGACTAACCTTAGATTTTTGTGAACTGGGTCGAGTTCGAGAACTCGGTACCTCAGCGACATGATGGTCAGCTCGGGCGAGTCGTCCACGCAGCTGATGTGGAACTCCGGTGGACCACAGTGGGCAGGGCGTGCCCCGCCGGTGAACGGGTATGAGAGGCCTTGGAGCGGGCCACAGGCGAAAGTCTGGGAGCAGACGGAAGGGGTTTCCTCAGGCTGTATTTCCTTAGACGAAAACGGTGTCGTGGCGTCCGCGGAGTAGAAGAAGAGGAGAAGGAGGAAGATTGGGTGCATTTTGGACGGGGGTGGGAGTGTTGTGGGCTTGCTGGTAAATGCCAATAGAGATTAAATACAGGTTTGATGAAGAACGCGTTGATTAACTACAACTTGACTTGTGACAAAAGCTTGCATTTTGGTCGTCTCTGTTCTTTTTATTTGACGAGTTATATTCATTAGAGCATCCGCGTGGGGCTCTCTAATGGGACAAAAGCTTGCAATTTCTATTCATTAGCAGCATGAAGGTAAATAACAAGTTGTCTACCGTGAAGAAATTGTTGGAGGAAAATAGGAAATATGAATTTAAAGATAATAATACTTTTTAATAAAATTGTAATCATCAAATACAATAATAAATTTACATGAAATTAATGTAAATTAACAAACACAAATAGAAAATACTGACAACTTTAACGATTGTAGTTTGTAAGAATTGTAATGTCCTAAAGACAAATTTCGCCCCTACTCTTGTGCTCACAGTTCTATAGGCGTCTATCTCCCAAGATTCAACAATTAATAATCCTAAATTGAAGTACTTCAATTTAAGACTCTGGTGAATGATAAGTTCATTATTTCCTATATTTGTATATCTCTTATATTTAGTT